TTTTTTTTTTTTTTTTTGGGGGAGGGCTCTGACCTTTTTCTTCTATAGACCCAAACCTAACTCCCATCCCTATCCCCAATTTCAAAAAAACACAATCCCTCCATCCAAATCCCAAACTCCACTTATCAAACCCCCCCTCCTCCCACCCCCCAAACAAAGCCATCACCCCAATCCTACTCCCCACCCACAAAACCCACCCTCACAAGCACAAACACACGTACGTCCCCCTCTCCTCCAACCCAAAAGAAACCCCCCCAATCTAACACCCAACCCAGCCCCCGCATCCAGCATCTACACCCAAGCTTCCAGCACAACTGCTGCGACTACTACTGCAAAGAGTTCTTCACGCACACCCCGCTACAGTAAACCACCCATTGTGCATAATGGCGGTGGACCGGTTTTCGATCCTAATACCTCGACGTCGGCGCCTGATGGGGGGTATCATTCGTGAGAAGGGGCCGAGGGATGGGGGGTGAAGTGTTGGTGGTGGATGAGGTGGGATGAGGATGAGCAAGAAGAGGAGATGGGATTGTAATTGTTTGTTCGGTATTTGGTAGGGTATGCTGGGTATACTGGCCGTTTTTCGGACTGCATGGATAGGCGGCGTGGGGGTTTGGGGGGTTTTTTTTTGGAATTTCGAATATAGGTGGGATGGGTTTGCGGGGATTGGAGAATGTGTGCTTGTTTTGTGTGTGGGTTCAAGTGGGTTGGATTTCTCCTTTGGTCTCTTTTTTTTTTTGCGTGCTTTTAGTGTATACGTGTTGGTATGCTCGATGTGATAAAGTAATGTTCCCTTTGTGCGTTTTGGCGGTGGTGTTAATCTTGATATTCATGTTAATCTCAATCTCATTCTCCCCATCTCTCCCATCTCTCCCCTCCCTCACCAAGCCATGGGCGCCAACACCCCGCCCGGCCAAGCCCTTACAGCATACTTCCTACCCTCATCGAGCAGCAAAATACCGAAACCAAACGCCGCAGGCAGGAACCAATGGTCGACAGAGATCTGCCTAGTGCCGATGGTGCGCTGCAGCGAGGGGATATAATTGAAGAGGAAAGCGACGGCGATGGCGAAAATCATGGCGGGGAAGATTGTCCAATTCTGGGTGGAGACGAGGGTGTTAGTTTAAGTTTACCACTGGTGTTTGATGGGGAAGTAGTTTACCTGTGTTGCTTTGTTGAAAAGGGGGGGTTGTTGGAAGAGGCTGAGGCGGCGAGTGCGTGTTGCGAGGAGGTTGAAGAGTTGCCTTTTATGACATCGTTAGCCTGATTTCTCTGATTCCTTCATTGCGTATCTTGTCTGCGGGCTTACATGACCACCAGCGTAACAAAGTAGACACTCGATGCCTCGTTTGCCACTTCAGTGATGTACGCGGCATCGTACTGCGAGTCGTACACTCCGAATTTGAACCACAGCGCGGTAAACGGCACGCCTCTGCGCTGCATGTACCAGAATGCCATTGTGAAAGAGAGAAAGCACTGCAGGAGACCGACGAAGAAGTAGGCGTGGAAGATGAGACGAGTGTTGACCAGGCGATCCTTGCGCGGGTTACGAGGAGGGCGGAGCATGAGATCGGCCTCTGGCTTCTCGTAGGCCAGGGTGATGGCGCCCGCGCAATCTGTCAAGCAGCAGATGATGATCATGAGGAAGGAGGAGAGGATCTGTGGGATCCCAAAAGCAACGTTGGTCACGACGGGCCAGAGTTCGGAGAAACTGCCGGCAGGCAGGAGGTAGACGATGGTTTTCTTGAGGTTGTCGAAGACCAGCCGTCCGTACATGACCGCTTGGACAATGGCTGCGAATGAGTCGAGCAAGACCATGTCGGCGGCTTCAATGGCAATGTCGGAGCCGCTGCCCATGGCGATGCCAATGTCGGCTGCTTTGAGGGACGGTGCGTCGTTGACGCCATCTCCTGTCATACCGACGATATTCTGGCGAGCTTGGAACTCTTTGACGATGCGAAGCTTCTGTTCAGGTGTCGTTCTCGCAAAGACAATCTCCTGATACTGACAGAGTTGATCCCACTGGGCCTCGTTCAGCGTGATGAGCTCCGGACCGCTCAATACAATGGCTTGCTTGGTAGATCCAATCTTGCCGTCTCGCTCAAGAGCACGGATATCATCCACCAGAGCTGAGTTCGAGATGATACCACACTCCTCGGCAATTGCTTGGGCAGTGAGTTTAAAGTCACCCGTCACCATGAATATTCGGATCGAGGCTCCACGAAGAATACGTACGACTTCTGGGATCTCAGCGCGAGGTGGATCGACGATGCCGATCAGGCCAACGAAAGTGAGGCCTTCACGTGCGGCAATGAGAACCTCCTTCTCGTGGTTGGCGGAGAAGGGTAAAAGAGTGGGCTTCTTAGCGAGGAGAATGATACGCTTGCCTTGAAGAGACCAGTTGTCTTTGATAGTCTCAATGCGCATGCGTTGAGCTTCTGTGAGTGGTACCGCCCTACCCCTGTCATCGAGAAGAAGATCGCATCGAGGAAGTATGATATCAGGCGCACCCTTGATCAAAAGTGTTCTAAATGAAGTCAAAGACAGATCATCGTAGCTCCCAATGGCTATACGTACGTATTGTTGCTTGTTGAATTTTGATTGGCAGGCGTCACAAGACGAATCATGAACTTGTTCTTGCTATTGAAAGCAATCTCGAACACCTTCTTCCATTCACGACGTAGCTCAGAGATGGATCCAAGGCTTTCAGAGAGTCGGAGCACAGCTTGATCTGTAGCGTCGCCGTTGATCCTTCTCTCGGCGATAGGAAGATTCATCGTAGCCGCATCAAACTCCCCGGAGTTGCAGAGGCCACCAACAATGCGAACTTGGTTGATGACTTCTTTACAAATTTTTGAAGAATTGGCAGCCTCCTTTTCAGACCGCAACACTGCCATCAAGTCGCGGGCCGCCTCAGGCGTGTACTCTTCACCAGCAGCGTAAATGTCAGTGGCGATCATCTTGTTCTCAGTCAAGGTTCCCGTCTTGTCAGAGCAAATGACCGAAACAGAACCAAGCGTCTCTACAGTCTTGAGAGACTTGCAGAGAATCTTGTTCTTGCGCATGATGTTTGCAACAATGGTAAGAGAGGTTGTAAGCGCGATTGGCAGACCTTCTGGGATGAAGGCAACAGCCGCAGAAACACAACTGACAATCAACAAAGGCACATTGATCCACGTTGGATGAGATTTCCTCAGCCATGCAGCCCTGTAATAGTGAGTCTATATCCTTGAGCCCAACAAGGGTAGACCCAGACAGGCCATACGAGACCACACGCGGACGTACCAGAGAACAATGATAAGAATTACAACACATGTAATGAAGAGTGCAATTATGACCACGAATCGAAGTATCTCCTTCTGCAACGGCGTCATGCCAGTTTTGGGATCCGATGTCAACTTTGCGATACGACCAAAAATTGTATTGTCGCCTGTTGCAACGCATACTCCTAGGCAACTTCCATAAATGCAATGTGTTCCTTGAAGTCCAATGTTGTATGTTTCGAGATAGTTGTCTTCGGTATGCTCGACTGTAGCCACGACGGGCTCCGATTCACCTGCATCTGTTAGTCGCGTGCACGCACCATTTGAAAAGGGCGATTGAACCTGTGAGTATGGAGCGATCGAACATAGCATCGCTCGAAACCTCTATGAGTCGAATGTCGGCAGGTAGCTTGTTGCCTTGCTTGACAACAATGATGTCTCCTGGAACCAAGTCGAGAGCATGAGCTTTGGCCTGAGAACCATTGCGAATGACAAGACAATCATCAGGTAGCATAGTGCCAATGGAAGCCATGACTCTACTGGTAGACCAATCTTGCCATGCATTGAAGGCAGCTTGGATGAGCCAAACAGCAATCAGAACACAAGCAAGTGCTAGATTGGCAGGTGCTGGCGTTGGTTCACCGAGAGGTTTCCAGGCAATGAAGACAAGGATACCGGCGACGACCAGAATACTACCAAAACCACCAAAGAAGTAGCCCATGATGTCGCCGAGAAGCCCAGACTTTGGCGGGGTGATCTTGTTCTTGCCATATTCACCAATGCGACGTTTGATTTGATCGTCCCCAAGACCTTGGTTAACATCAACGGAGAGGCGACGACAGATTTCGTCGACATCGAGAGTATGCCATTCTAATTCACCAAAATCTGTACCCTGAATGTGAGCAAATGTGTGCGCATGTAGGATAGTTGAGTTTCTTTTATCACATGCACTGAGAAGATAGGTGACTTACCAACAGCGGCCTTTTCTTTCGCCTTCTTCACATCCTTCTGCTTTTGATGTTTCTCTTCATCAATCTCAATGGAAAGCGTGCGATAGGTGATGGGAAGAGCAGTTTCGGGCTGCACTGTCCTTGTGCCACCGGTGCTGTGGATGGACAGACTACCAGTGCTGCTCCTTCGCGTTGGATCGCGCTGGCGACGCTCGTAAGTCACATAGCCGTCTTCTTCGTCGGGGAGGCGTTGGATTCCAAAGCGAACGCGAGGAGCTCCATTGGCTCCTGTATCCATGTAAGGAAGTGAGAAAGGGGCTGGCTGTTGGAAATGGAGCTGGAACGTTCAGAGGCACAAACAGAGTAAATTGAACCGGCTTTTTCACGGTTCCGGGCAGAGGAGAGACCTGAGAGACGAGCGAAAACAAATCTAACAACAAGATGGATGCTGTCGCAAGCGCAATTTATAGCCCTAGGGAGGGCAGACTTCACTTCCATAGCAATAGTGTGGCTATGATGATACCCCCTCGAACATGTCATACACGTGCTGCTGACCCAACAGCCAGGCCTTCGCAACACGTAACAAGATCAGCGGGATCAATGGGGCGTCAAAATGCACCAGTGTGTGGATCAAAGGTCGTCCATGCCTTTGTCCAGATCGACCGTCGTCCTCAAGCGATTCGACGATAAATAACTCATGCATTTTTCATGACCAGAAAACAGGATCTTCAGGCCCGTACATTGTAGCCGCCAAAGGTATCCCGTCGCATGCACGCTTTGAGCGTGCTTTCGAATCTCATTTTGCTGGCACGGCTTGTGGGAGTCGTGCTGTTGCTGGTTAGCCATGAGCGATTTTCTCGGATACACAGCCTCGCTGCGGTGTGTGTAATCAAGCTTCGACGCATCAGGCCAATGAGGCCGCGCGATTTTTGACGTCTTTCGTGCGTCGCTGCTCATGCATTGCTTATTGAAAGCAGCAAATGTAGCTTTTGCGTAGGATTGTGCTGTCATGGGAGGATTGGAAGGGCGCGATAGCTGAGCAGCTTCCACTTGTAGCATCCCGAAGCTGCAATTACCGGTACCCTCAGGTAATGCAAGCCTTGTTTTTTCAAGCTTCAGACAGTCTGCCATGGAGTAATGGCTTGTATGAGACTTATGCAACCTCAACAAGAAGATAGTCTGTGTTCGAAATTACTCGAAAGTGGGTAGTTCGCCGCATACGCAAAGCTTGAATACAACGGCCTCTGATCTTCTTTCTTCAGTCCAGTACCTATGACACTGGTACCAATAGATGCCATTAGCTGTAAGCCTACCTGGAGTCGAGAACATCTCCCTCAGGATGGCGCGACACCTCTAGTGCACCGTACCTCTGTACCTGCATCATCTTGCACCATCTTACAGATCGTGAGCGATATATTTGATTCGAGCGGATATTTTAGCTGCTTCGTAGTGGCGGGCAATGAGGAAGCTTAAAAGTCGAAACTAAAAGCATACGCTGACGACGGCCTCTTCGGGTCTAACCAGGTCGGAGGTCATATGATATCCACGGTCTGGGTAGAAGGACACGAGCGCGCAATTCTCGAACAAGAGAAGATGATCGTCTCTCCCGTGGGTTTTTTTAGGCTGTCGGTATCCAGCACTGCCCCTTTCCCCCTCTTTTGTCCTCAGCAGTCACAACAGTAGAAGCTTCCACATGTCAGCATTACGATCCGTCACACTATCAAGGCACCAGGTTCCTTGTCATAATTTTTTGTAAATTCGTCGTAGAATCATTACTTTACATGTTGTGTCGTGGTAAATCCTTGTGATTCCCGACTTTCTCCCACATGATCCTGTCAGATCAGTTATCAATCCAATTCTCACAAACGCCTTCGCTAGTTGCGCGAGAGCTTCAGCTCAAACATCAATCGCATCGACCGTAACGCCCTTGACCCAAGAATACTGCATGACACGAGCCACCTCCAGGGCTGACTCGTGCGAAGCCAAAGAACCCACCAAGTACAGGCTAGCATCAAGTCCAGCAGTGACGCCGCCAGTGGTGATGACACGCATACCGCCCAGCGGCATGGAAGCACGCCTAGCGATAGATTCGCGGCGGCGAGAGTCACGCCATGCGTTGCTGCCCTTGCGAGCAATCGACTTTCGACGGGCGTGAGCCGTGTTGGTGCCCTCAGGAGCGGTCGGGATGTCGCGCGCCTTCTTGATGATGTACCTATGCACTGTAAGCACTGGATGGCATAGACTTGGATGAGCTTCACATACGGGTTCTCATCGGGGTTCTCGCCCAAGTCAAAGCGAGCGTTGTTGACGACGTAGCGTTCTTCCATCACGTCCGTACGCATAGACATGTCTCGTCTAGCAGCGTCCTGACAGAGGGTCTCCAGGCGGACGTAGTAGTCTGGATGGGTAGTAGCGGCGAGGCCCTCGAGCATGCCTTGCTGGGCAAGGAGCAGGGCGCCGATATCGATGGCGAGGATTGTGCGTTCTTTGTCAGGATTCTTCTCCTGGAGCTCGACGTATTTGGTGAGAAGGCCCAGAGGCTCAGACTTGTTCTTGAGCACCTCAAAGACACCCTCGCCTCCAGGAACAATGAGGACATCAAAGTCCTCGAGCTCTGCATTGGCATCATCGTAGTCCATGTCGGCCTTGATGGTGAGGCCCTGAACCGACGTCATGGCCGCAGCCGTGCCAACAAACTGACAGTCAAAAGCCTTGCTGGCTGCAGAGGGCGTCAACAACAGGCCAATTGAGCCAGGCTCGTGTCATGCAAGCATGATTGGGGGCTTCAATGCTTACACTTGTCCTTGGGGTCCTGCAGGGAGCGGCTCAGGACCTCGAGAGGGCCAGCAACGTCGAGCGTGTTGTAGTCAGGGAAGAGGGCAAACAGCACCTTGACCTGCTCAACACGGTCGGTGCTGTCTGCAATTGCACTCATTGTGAATGATGTGAGTGTGGTGATGCTTTGGGAAATGGACTGGATTGGAATGAATTGGGATGAATTGGAGTGGATTGGGGATGAAAGCTGAGAGGAGAGGAGAGGAGAACGCTTACCCTTGAGCTGTAGGTAGGGAGGGGCGACCGCCGGAA